AACTGGCCCATTTTTGGACGACCCGAACAGGCCCAGTTTTGGATTCTCGTTTAAGCAAGTAGGTGACAGTCTGCGCAGTCTCGCAAAACTGCCCATATCTCTCTACTCAGATATCGTATTGACAAACGATTTAATGCGTTGGAAATTAGACTCTTAGATATTTAATTTGATTGGTGGAACACCCCATAACTCTAAGTATATTGGGAGAAAATCGCAGTTACATTTGACCCAAAGTTTCAGTAAAATATATGAACGTAACTTGTGATGACTTTCATCGACTTTTGTTCCACCACTCGCTTGACTTCAAAACATAACATACGACTATCATACGAATAACATAACTCGTAACATAACCTCCTTATCATGTAAAACACCCTGGTCTCATCCCAAAAGTACATGCTATAACATTCCCAATTTGTCGGCTTTCGACGAAACATTATTTTCTTCAATTCCTTTAGCTTCTAAACCTTCCAACCCTCTTTGTACTTGTTGTTCATGATATTCAATATTTGTAACTTCCGAGGTAACATGATTAGATTGCTTTATATATTTTCAAAGATGATCTCATTTTTTTCTTTTGGGTCCTACATTAGTTTGCTCACGACACAGTTTTACGTACAAAAACAAAATATAGGGTGTAACAGATACCTTGTTGTAGGGTGAAATTTGGCCTGTTATCAGGGCCGGTGATCATCTCAGTTAAAAATTGTAGAGTCATGAGATCATGATCATAGCTATGCGCAATATCCTTCATCCAGGTTGGGTTAGTAGTAGTAATTACACATAAAGAAGGACTTTCCTTCTCCCTTCTAGATAGTGCATCTTCAACTCTCTGTTCCTTTTTTATACTGTACCTCATAGGCTAAGATAAGAAGCTTAGCCAGACCCTTCTGTTGTAAAGCAGTGGTCGCTCTGTTACAGCAAATATTTCAAGCTTTCGTAGTCTGTCCTAATAATAAAATATACTCCTTATATGAAGTATCTCCATTTGTCTATAACTGATAGGACATCCATATATTCCTTTTCATGAGTAGATAGGCCCAGATGCCTAAGGCCTAGAGCTTTACTGGAGAATGCAAGAGGTTTTCCATCTTGCATCAACACAACCCCCATTCATGTAGAGCATGCATCAGTTTCCACTATAAAAGTCTTAGCGAAATTTGCTAGGGCTAGTACAAGGGCAGTAGACATGGCTTGCTTCAATGTTAGGAAGGTAGTTTTAGTCTCTACAGACCATTGGAGTGCATTCTTTTTTCAGCAAATTGGTTAATGGTCTGCTGATGATTCCATAAGACTATATAAATCATCTGTTGTAGCTTGTAAGACCTAGGGAACCTCTTAGATACTTAATGGACTTAGGAACATGACAATTAGTCATTGCTTCTACCTTAGAGGGGTTTGTAGCTACTCCTTATCTAATGATAATGTGCCTCAAATATTCTACCTTTGATTGACCAAAGGAATACTTAGAAAGTTTGGAAAAGAGCTATTCCTTCCTCAATATTTCAAGTACTCTTCCAAGGTGTTGTGTGTGAACATTTAGTGAGGCAATGCAAACTAATATGTCATCAAAGAAAACCAGAACAAGCTTCCTCAAATAGTCCCTAAACACATGGTTCATGAGAGATTGGAATGTGGCAGGGGCATTGGTTAAGCCAAAGGGATTTACCTTGAACTCATAATGGCCTAAACGTGTTCTAAAGGTTATTTTGTAAATATCTTCTTCTCCCATTCTAATTTGGTGGTAACCTGCCCTTAAGTCAATTTTAGAGTATATACGAGAACCACGTAGTTCATCCATTAAGTCATCAACCAAGGGAATGGAAAATTTATCCTTAACAGTCATATTATTGAGAGCTCTATAGTCAATGCAAAATATCAAACTTCTATTTTTCTTCTTAATTAATAATAATGGTGATGAAAAGGGCAAATGAGTAGGTTGTATGGTTTAATTTGCTAGCATCTCATTGACTTGTTTGTTAATTTCATTTTTTTGAAAGAAATTGTACATGTAAAGTCTTATGCTGACTAGTGTTGTGTTTGGTTTCAGAGGCATATAATGATCATGATTCCTCTTGGGAGGAAGGCTTGTAGGTTACATAAACACATTAGGGAATTGCTTTAGGACCTGCTAGATAGCTGCATGTACCTTCTCTCGTTCTTCAACTTTTACTGCAGTTACAGTAAATAAGTGAGCCTAAATAGCTTGCCCCTTCTTAAGTAGATGCTTAGCTCTAGTTGCTGACAAGAGGATGCTTAACTCTAGTTGCCCCTTCTACTGCAGTTACAGTAAATAGGTGAGCCCAACATGCTTTTAGCAAAACTGGATTATGGCCTTTAATCCAATCCCCCCTTATATTATATCACTAGTAAATTTATCCGCGCTTCGCGCGGTCATCAATAAATGAATTAACATTTTCTTTTATATATTTAAATTTAATCGGTATACATATAAATTTGCATGTGTATAAGAAACTTAATTTTATATCTAATACCCTTCATGTCATTGATTTTACAAAAACCGGATAATTGGAACGAAGACAATCACACTGTAGTGAATTGGATGAATTGGAACACATATTTAAGATAACACTGCAAACGAGATTTAGTTCCAAAATTGGTCATCGTATGTCTGATTTCTGGAAAGAACTTGCAAAAACTTGTACCTATTTCCTAGTAGTTAGTTATACAGAAGTTAATTCTATAACATGCAATATAAGAACTTTTAATTTATAGAAATAGAAAAAGGGAAAAAAGAAATGTTAATTAAGATAAATATTTATAACATGCAATTCTGATCTTTGGTACACAGTGATGAAAGTGATTCAAATAAAGCTATACGTTGACCAAACCAAAAATACAAAATCTGCATTTAAACTTTAATCCAACTTGCAGGTCTGGGAACTTTTATAAGCATGCATAAATAATCATGGGAATAGACAGTTGAAGTTATATTTCCATATTCATAAGAGATTCAATATTTTAGACAACTCAGTATAGCATCATTTGGTTCATGTATCTATTAGGCATGCAATTTAAGAAAGTCCAAAAGTAAGCATTACGAACCCAAGTGGAGGGACAAACAGGGGCGAAGCTACGTGAGTTGACCACCTTTCGCCGGAAAATTATACTCCGTATAAGGTAAAATATTGCTTGTTATTGATTAAAAATAGACTTTGAACACCCTTACATAGCCCACCGGCAAAGGTTTGAACACCCTTGTTGAATTTTGTGGCTTCGCCACTGGGACAAAAAAGTAGAAGATCATAGCTACAGCTTGATCCTGAGTCCTATGCTACCTTCTGACTAAATACTACCAAGGTAAATCAAACATACATAAAACAGACCTCATTGCATGATACCTTCCCGCAGCACATCATTCTTCTCATAAATTCACTTGTCTGCTTCTAAATGGATGATTTAGCTTCAAAATATTGACCAGCTTTCAGAGGGTTGGGGAAACAATCCAATTACCCACAATTTCATATTTTTCAATGGCCATTTCCTCGCATTTACCTTACAACATCAAGGTGCTCTACCCGTTTATCTTATCCACCTTTCTTTTCTTGCCTTCTTCCTCTTTTTCTGTTGTTGTTTTAGAAGCATCATTGTCAAAATTTGAGAGGACAAGCAACAACAACTCAACATCAAGTTTACATTTCAAGAAATTATATTTTTCAATTGATGGTCAGTTAAAATGAAAAAAAAAAGATCTCTAAACAACATATTTATTATTTACCTCATGTTATTGTGAACTGAAGTTTGCACAATATATAGAAAGTAAAATCTGAAATGAAGAGAAACAAATCCAGAGTTAGTTAACAAATGCAACTCAAGAATGTCCGTATATTAGAACAAAGCAAATCCGACCAACTCCGTCACAGATGAGAGCCGAGAGATTAGTGAGTTTTCTCATTTGTATTGCATCTAAAATTCAATTAACTTCTTTCAACAACAGTTTAATGGTAAGCTGGTCAGACATAACTCTTTCAACAAGTCAACAGTAAAGTTGATAAAACATTCAATCTGGTATCCACAGTCAAAGCTTATCACACATCTAATAAGGAGATATCAAATCTTATCACACAGAAAGTGAGAAGAAAATATAAAATTCATCTTCTAAAGCACTTCCGTGAATTCAAAATATAGTTCTTATACCATGAATGATATCTCAGGAACAGTAAATATGAACTCCAAGAGTTATATGGATTTTTAATTCCAAAAAAACTTAAAAATAATGATTATCCACCTCTGTTATGTAATATACCTCTATGAAATTTGTTTGCCAAAGGCATCCGGTAAAATCTACTATGCAAATAATATGATCAAGATGTACTTTGGCTATTTTTTATCACTGAATATTTGTTGACTAAAATGTTAAACTGTATTTTGATTCATTCATATTTCACCCTACGTTTAAGTTCAATATAAAAGTAATAATATAGGGATTGCTTTGTAGAGAATTCCTCTTCTTATTGATCATATTTTGTTTATTACTTCTTTAGATCATATTGTCAAATACATAAATTTATTACTTCTTTAGACCATATTGTCAAACACATAAAGAACGTGATATAGACTTATTATTTCTTTCAACTTTTCATATTAATAAAAGTAGTTACCTGATATTCAACAAATTGAGTAACCCTACCATTGAGGACATTTGAATTCAGGGCTGGATTTCCTGAGTCGCAGTTACTGGAGCATCAAGGCACATACTCAAGACAACCACCTGAAAGAGTGGCAAAAATCTAATATGAACATAGTATATTCAGAAAAGGAAAAATCCCCAAATTTCCATCTTCGAGTTCTAATAGAATACCAAACCCTGTTTCAAGAGATGTCATGAGTCATGACAATTCCTAATAAAAATCACTTAGAAAAATAAGTGAACATCTACAAGGAAAGGAAAAAGAATGTAACTTTAATAAAAGAACTACCTCTTTTCCCATTGAAATTTATCCACCGAAAAGTTTGATTTGATATTCATCATTCCTTTCCTTTGTTCTTACTTCAACCCTTCTTTGTCGTCTGTGTTCATCTTGTAGTTGAATAAGAAAACTAAATGCAGGATTTGTAAAAATCGAGATGGAAAAATCGAGAGGAGAACGCCATCATCTTCCGTTCCTCGGCCGGCATAGGCCCGATTAGTGAAGACCTATAGATGTTCGTCTGAGAAAAGGCATATAAACAGTCAGTTTGGGAAAAGACGTATAAATAATACTTTACAACCGAATATGTATTGAAGAGAAGTTAGGAGAGTGGAAAATTAGGGGAAAATGACAAAAAACCGAGAAATTAGATAAATGTCATTCCTAGTCCATAAGAGGTGCCATGTCATCGGGGTTTGGCCCTCTTTTATATATATATAGATGTACTTCAAGCCCGAATAGCCTAACAAAATCCTCAAACTCCACTCCTTGAATCATCCATTTGAACCTGTGACAAGTATGCCTACTCATAAGATGGTTGCCATTTGTCACAGTGACCCTCATAGGAGTAGAATCTATGATCTTGCACCTTATCTTCTTGGCTCTCTCTATATATCCATGAAGCTATGTGTGCTTCTTGAATCTAGAAAAAATAGTTATTAGGTTCTTCTTTGACTTACCCATCAGCTTAATTGTGTTGGGCATCTCAGTTCCAGAAAGAGCATTGAGGTTATTGGCCTCATCCATGCCTTCCTCTCCTGCATGATAGACTGGACTAGCTCCTTCCTCTATTGGCTCCATCATAGTCTGGATCTTCAGAAGCAGCCACAACATTCATTTGCTTCTGCTTGCATACATGTCCTGGGAAATATTTGTCACCACATTTCCAACACAATCCATTATTCCTCATGTTTTCAAATCCCTTGCTTATCTGTATATTTTAGTTGGACACCCCGGCACCCTTGGCACCTCTATGAAGGTTCTGAGTGTTTGACTGTTGGTAACCGGTATAGGTTTATCCTTTTTCCCATGTAGCTTTTCCTTTCTTATTCCAAGTCTCAATTACATTTTTTTTATGCCTAACCTTTTCAACATCTTGTCTTAGGGTATAGGAATTCGGAATATTCACACTATGTCTTATGTCTTCCTTGAGGCTTTCTACAAAGAATTCCAAAAAGAATTCTTCTGGCATAGTTGGGCTCCTGATTTGAATCCAAGCCTTAAGGTCCTTAAATTTCTCCAAATATTCATTAATTGTTCCCTTTTTCTCTATCTTTTTAAATTCTCCATGAGACTGAATCTACTATTATCTGCATCTTGAAATCTCTTACAGATTTCTTCACAAAACTATGGCCATCTAACATTCCCTTTACTTAACTGATAGGAGAAGTACCAAGCTTCTACCCTTCCATTGAGGTATAGGACTGCTTCTTCAAGTTTTTGCTCTGAATTGGATACATAGTTGTAGTAGAAATATCTCACACTTCCTCAACCAAGAACAAGGGTAAGATCCCACGGCACCATCAAAATAAGGGAATTCAACTCTGGAATTATAGGTGCAATGACCACCATGATGATTTCTTTCACCGACCAAGGAAGCAGCTATCTGCTCCCCCCTAAGGCCACTCATTTGTTCTTCTTGCTGATTTGTTCTTCTTGCTGATGGATCTCTACTGGTTCACTACCCAGTATGCCTGCGTGGTTGGGCAATAACTTTTCCATCAATACATCGAACTTTTGAGCCAGCTCATCAATTTTGGCATATGTGGTCTCATATTTCTTGCTTTCTTCTGCTATGTGATTTTGGAGTTGTGTCTAACTTCTAGAGACTATCCTCCATATATTTCGATCTAGTTCTGTAATAGTCATGATTTGTAGGGCCAGGAGATGCTCTGATCCAAAATGTAATGTTCTTATGCGAAACTGTAAACGCAATGGAATGGAAATCGAACTTTTATTGATAATTGTCTATTGTATTACAACTCAGAGGTAATTACAACTAGAAAACTATTGGGTTTTCAACTGGAACTTGAGCTTTAATTACGGAATTACCTGAAAAGAAGAATTAGAATTGGGTAAGGAAGAGAAAGAGAGAAGAGAAAATGAGAGGAAGGAATAGTAGAGAAAATAAATTACTAGATTGCATAACCATCTCCTTTAGAGCTCTATGGAATATAAAGCCCAACACTGCAACGATCCACTAACTAACTAAAGGCCCAATAACCAACTCAGCTGAAGATTTAATCTAGGCCGTCAATTGATTTAGCTAACTTTCAATCTTAGCCATCTATTATAATTAAGCTACTAAAATACGTGTACTCAGGAAGGGTTAATAATTTTCCACGTCGCCTTACTCGTCTCTGCCTCTTCCCCGTATTTATCAGCTTACTTTCAAAATTTAAATCCTGATTCCCAATTTAGAGATTCCCCTCTTCCGTCATAACATTCATTCAGAAACTTCAAAATCACCCGATAAGGAGAGAAATTAAGGTTTGAAGTTCAAAAGTTAATCTTTCACCCAACTTTTAGATATTACTTCCATTAAAATTATGAATAGTGGGGTATAATTGACTCAATGACTTGTCCTCTATACAATATGCAATAGGAATTTATCTCACTTATTCTTCCAATGCTCGGTGAGTGCAAGGTTATGGTGCCAAATGTTGTATTGCAGTGAATACTTGGGCAACCAATGGAATGGCAAAATGAAGTTATGTGGGCATGCAATTGAACTCAGATGTATAGAATGTGCCTTGCTGGAAGTATGTATATTCTATAGCTCGAGAGGAATCACAAAGTGTTCAGACAATAGCAGAGATCTGAAGATAGTATGGTCAGACAGTTGGTTCAGGAGATATTTTATAGAGGTGTCCTGAAGAGTTGACTAATAGGAAAACTTCAACTTCTCAATTTCCATCCTTGATGTCTAAGTTTGGCGGTTCGGTTTATTTGAAGAATCTGAGTATGGTAGAAGTAGTGGAAGAAATAGTTTGAGAGATGATGATGATGTGCACTCTCTCTTGTTTCTTTTTTGTCTGCTTGTGTCACAATCCAAAATCTTACCTTTCTTGATGGCGCCTATCTCAATACTACATAAGCCAACAATCTCAAATAACCGCAATTTCCTTTAAGGTTGGAAACATAATATTTGATTTCAATAGAAAATCTCACAATTACAAATACAAAACACTCCCAAAACTCGGTGTCATTGAGTACATGAGTATCTAAATGAATACAAAGCATGACTGATTAAAAACACTGTCTAAGAATGTGACATCTCAGTGAAAAGACCTCATGTACTACTGGTCACTAATCATTCGGTCACTCAGTATTATATATGGCTAATCCAGCCCAGGGATATTCCATCCCGTATATATATACACATCGACTGACAGTCAGTCACTCAGTACCGTATAAGGCCAATCCAGCCCAGGGGTAATTTATCCCCAAATGTAAATGATACGGACAAGATCCATGTCCAGGTAAAATTTATCACAATATAAATAAGTAAGGCAAGTCCATGCCCTGGGAAGTTCATCCCGAATATATATAATCATCTATGCTCACTAGGGGTGTGTACATACTCCGGAGGGGATCATTCAGCCCAAGTGTGATATATAGCCGATATGGCTTGCTGCAGGAGGGCAACCCCGATCCATATAATAATAAATCTAATAAGGCCTGATGCGGCGTGCAGCCCCGATCCAGAACAATAAATCCTGCTGCGGCGTGCAACCCGATCCCATAATAATATCCTCACAGTGGATGAGCATGATTGAGTATGAAATGTCAAAATAATTAATTCAATAGCAACATGACCCTATGGGTCCCAAAATATCGGTACGTAGACAAATCATGATCTTTAATACGAGTCTCAACTCAATTTCCTAACACGTGAAGGTTATGCGAATAATAACATTATTCTTTAATTTTATAGCTTCACATGATTTATTCAAGTCACAATTTCTATGGTGCACATCCACACGCTCGTCACCTATCGTGTGCGTCACCTCCAAAAAATTTATATAACACTAGATTCGGGAATTCATACCCTCAGAACCAAGTTTAGAAGTGTTACTTACCTCAAACCGTGTAATTTTTTATTCTACAATGCCTTTCCCTCGCGAATCGGCCTCCAAACGTCTCGAATCTTTAATTAGCTTTTTCAATAAAAATATCCGCTGAGCAGTACACGCAAGAAATGTTGACGGCAAAAATAGAATTCCGACAATTGAAATCCAATCGGATAAATAGTATCAGGGAACTTTTGACCGGAAACCTCAAATCGAAAATCCCGACGACGACCTCGCCTTTTGACACGGCCTCTCACTCGAGCCTTGTTTTACTCGACACACTGAAGAAATGGAGATAACAGGTGATTTATGATGATGGTGATGCTTTAATTTGGAGCTCGATGGTTCACTTGGATAAATGTATATTTCAAAGGTATATTTCATAGCTGTATTACATAGTGTTAATGATTAAGACTGCTGTTTTTTGTGAGCTTAATCGATTGTCTCTGTTTTCTCTCAATCGTCCCCCTTTCTATTGCTCTGTCCATTTTTTTTAGCTCGGGTTGAATCTGAAATCTAATTCCCTTTACCCCTTTTTTCTGTTCTCTTACCTCCCTCTATCTCTCTCTCCTTAAAATCCTCTCTTCCGCTCAAAGTGTTGCCCCCCACTCAAACTCTCTCTCCCAAAAATTCTCTCTTCCCCTCAAAGTGTTGTCCCCACTCCCTCTCTCTTTTTTTAATGTAGAAAATCCCCTCCTATTTTGTGACCCATCCTTGTTGTGTACGTGAGTGTGTGAAGAATAGTGTAGAAGTGAGATGACAAGATTTTTGAAACTAAGCAATTCCAACTTCTACATTCAATGCCGAAACCTATCAAATCAAATCCGATTGACCTCAAATTTTGCGCACAAGTCAAAAATGGCATAACGGGCCTATTCAAATTTTCAGAATCGGATTCCAAAAAGTCAACTCCCCGGTCAATCTTCCAAACTTAAATTTCTATTTTTGCCATTTCAAGCCTGATTTAGTTACGGGCTTCCAAAAAACAATTCCGGACATGCTACTACGTCCAAAATCACTATACATAGCTATTAGAATCATCAAAACGTTATTTCGGGGTCGTCTACACGTAAATCGACATCTGGTCACTATTTTAACTTTAGCTTTAAACGTTGAAACTAAGTGTTCCAATTCATTCCAAAACCTCACCAGACCCGAACTAATTACCCATGTAATCCATATAACAACTGTAAAGCACAAAATGTGCAGTAAATAGGGAAACTGGCTTGTAATACTCTAAACGGTCGGCCGAATCGTTACATTCTCCCCCTCTTAAACAAATATTAGTTCCCAAACGGGTTTAGAATCATACCTGGAGCCTCTAATAGGTGTGGATATTTGCTTTGCATCTCTCGCTCAGTCTCCCATATAGCTTCTCCGACTGGCTAGCCTCTCCACTGTACTTTCACTGAAGCTATGTTCTTTGATCTCAACTTTCGAACCTGCTAGTCTAAAATGGCCACCGGCTCCCCATCATAAGTCAAATTACCATCCAATTACACTGTTCTAGAATCCAAAACATAAGACGAATCCCCGGCACACTTTCATAGCATAGATACATGAAACACTGGATGAACACCTGATAGATTAGGCGGTAATGCAAGTTCATAAGCCACCTCTCCAATCTTCTTAAGTATTTCAAAAGGTCCAATATACCTAAGACTCAACTTGCCCTTTTTCTCAAATCTCATAACACCCTTCATAGGCGAAACACGGAGTAGTACCTTCTCACCTACCATGTAAGCAACATCGTGAATCTTCTGGTCAGCATAACTCTTCTATCTAGACTGCGCCGTGCGAAGTCATTCCTGAATCAATTTAACCTTTTTTAAAGCATCCTGAACTAAATCAGTACCCAATAGCCTAGCCTCACCTGGCTCAAACCAACCCACCGGAGACCGACACCGTCTCCCATATAAAGCCTCGTACGGAGCCATCTGAATGATCGATTGGTAGTTTTTATTGTAAGAAAACTCTGCAAGTGGTAGAAACTGATCCCAAGAATCTCCAAAATCTATAACACAAGCACACAATATATCTTCCAATATCTGAATAGTGCGCTCGAACTATCCGTCCGTCTGAGGGTGAAATGTTGTACTCAATTGTACCTGTGTGCCTAACGCTCGTTGTACTGCCTACCAAAACTGTGATGTAAAATGCGTGCCCCGATTTGAAATGATAGACACTGGTACACCGTGTAGGCGAACAATCTCTTGGACATATATTTCAGCCAACCGCTCCTAGAAATAAGTAGTACCGACTGGAATAAAATATGCGGACTTGGTCAACCGATCTATAATTACCCAAACAACATCAAACTTCCTCAAAGTACGTGGGAGTCCAACTACAAAGTCCATGGTAATACGCTCCCACTTCCACTCCGGAATTTCAAGTTTTTGAAGCAATCCGCCCGGTCTCTGATGCTCGTATTTCACCGGTTAACAATTTAAACACCGAGCTACAAACCCGACTATATCTTTCTTCATTTTTCTCCACCAATAGTGCTGCCTCAAGTCTTGGTACATCTTAGTGGCACCTGGATGAATGAAATACCGCGAACTGTGAGCTTCTTCAAGAATCAACTCACGCAGTCCATCTACATTTGGCACACAAATACGACCATGCATTCTCAATATCCCATCATCTCCAGTAGTAACATTCTTGGCATCACCGTGCTGAACTGTGTCCTTCAGAACAAGAAAATGGGGATCATCATATTGACGCTCTTTGATGTAGTCATATAAGGAAGACCATGAAATCACACAGGCTAGAACCCGACTGGGCTCCGAAACATCTAACCTCACGAACTGATTATCCAAGGTCTGAACATCAACTGCAAAAGGCCTTTCACCAACAAGAATGAAAACAAGGCTACCCATACTCACCGACTTTCTACTCAAGGCATCGGCCACCACATTATCCTTCCCGGGATGATACAGAATAGTAATATCATAATCCTTCAGTAGATTCAACTATCTCCACTACCTCAAGTTCAGATCCTTCTGTTTGAATAAGTACTGAAGACTCCAATGATCTGTAAATACCACACAAGATACACCATAGAGATAGTGTCTCAAAATCTTCAATGCATGAACAATGGCTGCCAATTCTAAATCATAGACATGGTAGTTCTTTTCATGTGGCTTCAACTGGCGCGAAGTATAAGCAATCACTCTACCCTCCTGCATTAAGACACACCCAATACCAATCGGAGAAGCATCACAATACACTCTATAAGAGCCTGAAGCTGAAGGCAAAACTAGAACTGGAGTTGTGGTCAAGGCAGTCTTCAGCTTCTGAAAGCTCTCTTCACACTCATCTGACTACCTGAATGGAGCATCTTTCTGGGTCAATTTAGTCAAGGGCGATGCAATAGACGAGAAGACCTCCACAAAGCGACGATAATACCCAGTCAAGCCAAGAAAACTTCGTATCTCAGTAGCTGAAGACAGCCTGTGCCAAATCTGAGCTGCCTCTATTTTCTTTGTATCCACCTTAACCCCTTCACTGGACATTATGTGTCCCAAGAATGCCATCGAACTAAGCCAGAACTCACACTTAGAGAATCTGGCATAAAGTTTCTCTTCCCTCAACCTTTGTAGTACAATACTCAAATTTTGTGTATGTTCCTCGTGGCTACGTGAGTACATCAGTATATCATCAATAAATACTATGATAAATAAATCAAGATATGGCTAGAATACACTATTCATCAAGTGCATAAATGTTGATGGGGAGTTGGTCATCCCAAAACACATCACGAGAAATTCAAAGTGGCCATAACGGGTTCTGAATGCCGTCTTTAGAATATACGAATCCCGAATTTTCAACTAGTGATACCCGGATCTCAAATCAATTTTAGAGAATACCCTCGCTCCCTGAAGCTGGTCAAATAAATCATCAATATGCGGCAAAGGTTGTTTATTCTTGATTGTAACTTTGTTCAACTGCCTGTAGTCGATGCACATCCGTATAGTACCATCTTTCGTTTTCACAAAT